GCTCTTTACTTGCATAATGTTATTGGTTGATTTATTTTCCCTCCTGGAGGAAGGACCAAATTCTATCCACTGTGAATTCACTGTTGGAGGGAAGACATTCTTCCTCTGTACCCCATGTATTCCAAAAAGAGTTTTTCAGATAACATAACTGCCACACAGATGACATAAGATGTCCTCAACAGGGCACAAGATTCTTGGGCATATGAGATGGTCAGATGGGTAGGCCAATACCAAGAAGACACACTTTACTCCTTCTTCCACACTGATGTCCCCTGGCCAAGAGAGACCACTGTGCTTGTGGACAAACTCACAGATGGATTTGTTACCTGTGCCAGGCAATGACTTGACTTGAACACTTGACAAGCCATTTGGCAATTGTTTTCCAAATGACAAGTCAGTTATTCCAATACTGTTTACTTCCATTATAACAACTGAATTATCATTCATACATAATTTTTTTCCCAAAAATTCTTATTCTGGTCTGTTGATCTAGCTTATTTCTACATGAGCATCATCTACTTTATTATTACAGTTTTAAAATATGATTGAAATGTGATTTTTTTTCATTTAAAATTTTGGCTTGATCGATGTGGATGAGCTGGAGGGTATTATGCTGAGTGAAATAAGTCAATCAGAGAAGGACAAACATTATATGGTCTCATTCATTTGGGGAATATAAAAAATAGTGAAAGGGAATAAAGGAGAAAGGAGAAAAAATGAGTGGGAAATATCAGAAAGGGAGAGAGAATATGAGAGACTCCTAACTCTGGGAAACGAACTAGGGGTGGTGGAAGGGGAGGTGGGCGGGGGGGGTGGGGGTGACTGGGTGACAGGCACTGAGGGGGGCACTTGATGGGATGAGCACTGGGTGTTATTCTATATGATGGCAAATTGAACACCAATAAAAAATAAATAAAGTAAAATAAAATAAAATAAAATTTTGACTTGAATCTTCTTGGATTTACTCATTCAGATGGAATTTAAATCTGGAATCACATGACAAAAGCACCTCATTGGGATTTTGATTGGAATCACATTAAACATTTTATAGTTTACTTTGGAATGCTTATATGTTTGCAAAATTATGTTTTTTCAACTAGGAAAATGAAATATGTCTCTTCATCTATTAAGGTCTTCTTAAGATTGATCAAGATAGACATGGCTTTTTCAATCTAGCAAGAAGGCTGAAAAATTTTTAAAGGATTTTAATAAAATGAGATGAGCATTGCTAAGGGAAGTATTACAGAAAACTTTGCATACCAGATCACCAAATGATTTGTATAATCATAAATAATACATCATTAAGCATACTCACTCATGCTTACACACTCACACACAATCATTCACGCTCACATACATCACACTGTTAACCCTCTGCCCTGTGCCTCTGCCTGTCCTATTTCCTCTACTGGGAATGTGGCCGCTCATTCTCTAACCCCCTTCCTTGCCCCTACGTTGCCTTCAGAGTGATTTATTTGTTGTTTAAAAATCTTACTGGTGTCGGGGATCCCTGGGTGGCGCAGTGGTTTGGTGCCTGCCTTTGGCCCAGGGCGCGATCCTGGAGACCTGGGATCGAATCCCACATCGGGCTCCCAGTGCATGGAGCCTGCTTCTCCCTCTGCCTGTGTCTCTGCCTCTCTCTCTCTCTCTCTGTGACTATCATAAATAAATAAAAAAATTAAAAAATAAAATAAAATAAAAACTTAAAAAAAAAAATCTTACTGGTGTCATTCACTTTGGCACTTTCCTTATTCTCCTGCACCCAGTTCACCCCTGGCTCATTTCTATTTCTGTACTTATCTACATATCCATCAGGGCACACTCTGTGGACTCCAGCCCTGTTCTGACCCTGCTGCTATCTGTGAGCTCTCAGAGATGCACACAGCATGGCACGTCCTGATGCCTTTGTGAGTGTTTGTTGTCCTGGGCTGGAGGCTTTGGGAGAAGCTTTTAAGGAGGTTACCATTTCAAGCATCTTCTTATTGTTTCCCCCCAACACATACCTTCCTTCCTAGTGAAAGCTCCATGTTGCCTAAACTCGTGGGTCAGCAAATACTTCATTTCCACTGGCCAGTGTTGTCCTTGGCAGAGGATGGTGGAATCAGCAGCCCTGGGTGGAGAAATGGGGAATGAGCAGACGACGTGAAAGACTCCGTGACAGAAGGTCTCTAGAGCAGATGTATTTCAAAACACTCCAGGCTCAGACACTCCATGCTCCACTTTACTTCCAGAACCGCTCCCTTTGCAAAACTCTGCTTAAAACAATAAGAGCCTAAAGGGCCTGGCCCTGCCTCCCTTCAGCAAACCTCTCCTCTCCACAGGTGCACAGCAAGGGCCTTTTGTCTCTGATGGGACAGGCCCAGGCTGCAGTGAGAAGGATGTGCAGTGTGGGGCCCATCCAAATATTAACTGTGGACACTTTCCTACTTTGAAAACATGAGATCCTCTGTACTAAGAGCCTTGCCTTCCAAAGAACACAATCACTTCTGTTTTTCTTTTTCCAGTGGACTGAGGCTTAATATTGGCAGTAACTTTATCTTCACATTGCCCAAGGTTGAGACAGTCAGGGCTTAAGCCTGCTGATCTTTGGACAACATCTGCTCTCCATTGATCTTTTTTACCTGGGCCCCAAAAGCAGGAGATAGGTAGAGAAAGAGGAGAACACCATGAGGGGCCACAGGGACCCCTGGAATGCTGATGAACTTCATCATGTCTTCAGGGGAAACCTTCCCTAAATTGATGTTAAATATATTTTACCTCCACTATCTGGTATTTAAGATGCCACTATAACCTGTAACCAAAGTCAATATTTTTCATGTCATTATCTGGTCATACAAGAAAGGTCAATTTATCAAATCAGAAAATGTTGCACAATGGAGCAACATTTTTTAAAAAAAATTAGATCCAATTGAAACTAGGTTGTAGTCTATCTGGTTCAATCGTCATTTTCTCAGCAGAGATTCTAAAGCTAAATTGACAAGTATGTCAAGAAAAGTTAGGCTCACTTTCAATTCAGTGTGTAGTCTTAATTGAACATTATTCCTAATAACTGTCACTGCCGTGGCCTGAGGCCATGGGGGAACAGGTATGATAGGCTCCTGTCAGCACTAGCCATGAACTCAGACTTGAACCAAAGTGAATCAGGAGTGCTTTTTCCCACTAGAACAGTGGATTGAGAAATTATATTTTGAGTTGTTTTAAAAAATGCTATCATCTGAAAGTGGAAACAGCCCAAACGGCTATCAACTGATGAATGAACAAATAAAATGTGACATATTTATACAATAGAATATTATTTGGCTATAAAAGGGAATGAAGTATTGAGACATGCTACAACATGAGTGGACCTTGGAAACATGATGCTAAGTGAAAGAAGTCAGGCACAAACGGCCACTTTTTTTTTTTTTTTTAGTTTCTTTAAATTTAAACTCAATTTGCCAACATATAGTATAACACTCAGTGCTCATGCAATCAAGTGCCCTCCTTAGTGCCCGTCACCCAATTACCCCATTCTCCACCCCCTCCCCTTTCGCCACCCTTTGTTTGTTTCCCAAGAAAGGCCACATATTTTTTATTCCATTTATATGTAATGTCCAGTATAGGCAAATCCATAGAGATAGAAAGTAAATTAGTGCTTCCTGGGGAATTTGGGGAGTGGCTGCTAATGGCTATGGGATTTCTTTATGGAGTAATAGAGATGTTCTAAAATTTATTACGGTCATGGCTGTGCTACTTTGTGAATATATTAAGGATCACTGCAGTTTATACTTTAAATGAGTGACTTGTATAGTATGTGAACTATATCTCAATAAAGCTTAAAAAAGAAAATCTATATAGTTTTGTTATATATACAGACCCATTTAAAGCAATTCCATTCAATGTTTCAAGGGGCATCTCTTTAAATCAACTCCTTTACTTTTAGTTTTGGAAAAGTAAATATCTTACATTATATCTTGACTTACTGACTGGGTCAGAAGTGGGGGTGTTGGACATGCTCAAGGGTTTGGGGTCCCAGAACTTCACACTATTCTATTCCTTTACTCAGGGGGCCAAATGAGAATGAGAGAGAATGGCCAATGTCCTCACACCAAGCATAGGGATGCCCTCACCTTGGTTCTTTCATGTCCAGCCTATAGCCAAACTGGGGTACACCAGGAACAGTTGACCTTCTGAGCTATAACAGGCTCTTGAGTACATGCAGCTTAAGATGATTCCAAGATGCAACTATTATCTGTAGCCAAAATCAGAAAAGCAAATCAGAAAAACCATCCATAGAAAAGCCAATTTACCCAGACACAGCAATGCTTCTTTAAGACCTGAGAATCTGGTGGAGGCAAAGAGGATTTTAATTTTATGCCAAGAGTCACTAAAGGCCACTAACCTTGCCGACTTTATTATGAATGACCACTTCAGACTTGGCCTTTGCTCCCAATTCCAAGACTTCCATCCCTGCCTCTACTCTTGGCAATGACTTTAACTTGCATTTGTTGACTGGAACTCCCAGTTTCTCCACCTCCAATCTCTCAGTTCCACTGTGTTGCCACTATTCTTCATTCTTCTTGTTCTGGTGGGTGGCATGTTGTGACTCTAGTCAGAGTCCCTCCCTCCCACATTCTCAAGGAGTTTGCACCTGCAATAAACTTACCCCTCTCTTTCCTTTGCATTGTAAGATTCTATCTCCTCTGGATTATATCCAGTAGTACATAAGTTCCAATCCTTTATCTTCACTCTCTTATTTCTCTGACCCTTCCACAGATAGTCTTAGAAGAACCACTTGTAATCACTGCCTCCACTTCTTTTCATCCCATTCTTGACACATCCAGTTATGACTTCTCTGTCTTCATTTTATTTGACCTCTTAGTAGTATTTGGCATAGTTGACCACTCCTTTCTTGATATATTTTTTTTTCTTTTTGTTTCTGTGTCATCACACTTTCCTAGTTTTGCTTTCTTTCTATTTACCACTCCTTCTTAACCTCTTTTGCTTTCATTCCCTTCCAGGTCTGAACTCTAAATTCAGGAGTACCCCTGAGTTTGGTCCTGGGACCTCTCTGAGGTTTCACGATTTATACTCATTTTGCTAATTTGGATGGGCCCGGGAGGTAGGTGAAGTTTCTTGGTATCTAGAGGCTTAAGTTTTATTTATGTATTTATTTATGCATTTATTTATTTATTTATTTATGATTTTATTTATTTACTCATGAGAGACAGAGAGAGAGAGAGAGAGAGAGAGGCAGAGACACAGGCAGAGGGAGAAGCAGACCCCACACAGGGAGCTCAATATGGGACTCGATCCTGGGACTCCAGGATCAGGCTCTGGGCTGAAGGCCGCGCTAAACCGCTGGGCCACCGGGGCTGCCCGAGGCTTAAGTTTTAATATTCATGTGGGAACAGGCTAAGAGGCAGTGGACCCAAATAAGACAGGATATTAAAATCTTATACAGCGAAACCTGAGAATGTTTAAAGGGCTGTATCTTCAATGAAAAAGTTAATCAGAAAAATACACAAATGAAGATGATAAAGGAGTCTGGGAGACAGAAAGATTTAAAAATAAATGTGTTTAAAATGATTAAGAATGTAAAATAAAGAAGTTGAAATTCTGTAATTATAATCAATTGAACTGAAAAGGAAAGAGTAATATGTTTCAGCAAGCAATAGTGAGTAAGGAGAAGATAAAGTTCGAGCAAATGTAAAGAAGATAGAAAATAATAACAACAATTTTTAATCGGGGGTATATATAAAGAACACATACACATAAAACCAAGGTGAGGCTAACAAACTGGACAAAAAAAAATAAGGTAGGGCAATTAAGTAAAAGTACTCTAGGTAGCAATTTAATTTCTTTAATAATACTGATTATGGTCGGATTTGGTTGATCAAAAATTCATGTTTAAATATGAGAGTAACCATTTATCTTATACCATATACAAATAATAACTCAAAACGGATCAAAAATCTAAATGTAAGAGCTAAAACTATAAAATTCTTATAAGGAAATATTCACGGCATTGGATTTAGCAATGATTGTGTTTAAGACCAGAAGTTCAGGCCACAAGAGAAAAAAATAGATAAATTGTATGTCATCCCCCCCAAAAAATGTATGTCATCAAAATTAAAAATTTTGTACATCAAAGAATACTAACAAGATAATGAAAGCCTGCAGAATAGGAGAAAACATTTTCAAAGTATATATCTGATAAGGGACTAATATCCAGGATATATAAAGAACACATACAATAAAAAACAATAAAAACTTAACAATAAAAAAACAAACAAAATGGACTAAAAACTTGAATAGACATTTCTCTGAGATATATATATATATATATTTAGCCAATAAGCACATGAAAAGATGCTCAATATCATTAACCATTAGGGAAATGCAAATCAAAAGTGCAACGAGGTATCACTTCATGTCCATTAGACTGGGTATTATCCAAAAAAGAAAAAAAAACAGAAAATTATAAGTGTTGGTGAGGTTGTGGAGAAATTGGAACCTTTGTCCATTGTTGGTAGGAATGTAATAGGTGCAACTACTGCAAAAAAAAAAAGTTTGATGATTTATTAAAAAAATTAAAAATAAAATTACCATATGATCCAGCAATTCCACTCTAGGTGTACCCAAAAGAATTAAATAGATTATTGTATGACAATATTTATTGTAGCACTATTCATAATAGCTAAAAGGTGGAAACAATCCATATGTCCATCAACAGATGGATGAATGAATAAACAAAATGTGGTATATACATATTCGGTTATAAAAGGAAATGAGGGGATCCCTGGGTGGCGCAGCGGTTTGGCGCCTGTCTTTGGCCCGGGGCGCGATCCTGGAGACCCGGGATCGAATCCCACATCGGGCTCCCGGTGCATGGAGCCTGCTTCTCCCTCTGCCTGTGTCTTTGCCTCTCTCTCTCTGTGACTATCATGAGTAAATAAAAAAATAAAAATAAAAAAAATTTAAAAGGAAATGAGGGCAGCCCCGGTGGCAAAGCGGTTTAGCACAGCATTCGGCTCAGGGCATGGTCCTGGAGACCAGGGATTGAGTTCCCAGTCTGGCTCCCTGCATGGAGCCTGCTTCTCCCTCTGCCTGTGTCTCTGCCTCTCTCTCTCTCTCTCTCTCTCTCTCATGAATAAATAAATAAAATCTTTTAAAAAATAAAAAGGAGTGAAACTCTGATATATACTCCAACATGGATGAACATTGAAAGCACTATGTTAAGTTAAATATACCAGACAAAAAAAGACAAATATTGTATGATTCCACTTATATGAGGTACTTAGAATCATTAAATTCATAAAGACAAAAAACAGAATAGTGGTTACCAGGAACTGGAGAGTGAGGGAAGTGGGGCATTATTATTTAATGGCTACAGAGTTTCTGTTTAGGATAATAAAGAAGTTCTGGAAGGAGAGGAGATGGTTGCACAACAATGTGAATTTACTTAATGTCACTGAATTGTACACTTAAAAATGGTTAAAATGGTAAATTTATGTCTTATATGTTTTACCACAATAAAAAAAATTCACAGAAAAATTTAACAGTAATCACTGAAAACATAAAATATATTATTTTCAACCTAAAGGGGATCAAGAGTGAAATAAAACGATCCCTAAAGAATAAAGGAAAAAGAGAAAAGGCACAGTAAAAAGAGCTCAAAATAAGAAGGTACAAATAAATCCAAATGTATCAGCAATAGCAATCACTATAAATGGACTAAGCTCACCAGTCAAAAAAACAGAAATTCTAAGTCTATACACTTACCATATGTACTCCAATCACTTCCATATTTATGTCTCTAGTCCTAATCTCAACCTGGTGTAACAGACTTCTATATCCGATTCCTACTTAACTTTTTCTTTTGGAAGAATAAAAGGCATCTCAAACTCAAACAGAAGTGTTCATTCCTCCCCTAAACATGTTCCCACATTTCCCTCTCAGTCTTCCTCATCTGAGTAAATTACCATCCAGTCAGTTGCTCAAGCCAAAAACCAGGGTCTTCCTCAGTTCTTCTCATTTTTTTAACCATTTCTCCACATCCAGTCCATCAGTGAGTCCTGTCATTTTTTCTCTAACCCACCTTATAAATCTGTCTCTCTCCAATTCCATTGCTACCATCCAAACCAAACTCTCCACGGTTTCTTTAACTGATCCCTCTGAAGATCTTCTGCTGTCTTCCTCCTACTTCTTTATTAACTATTCTCTATACAGAAGACAGAGTGATTTAAATTATAAGATATTCTATAATATGAGTTATATACATTATATTTTATAATTTATAAACCACAATAATAACACTTTAAACCAATCAGCCAAGTGAAGAATTAGCAGACCACTCTTAAAAAAATTAAATCTGAATATGTTACTTTGTGCTTAAAATTGCTAATGGCTTCCAATTACACTTGGAACTCAATCCTGACTCCTACTTCTCCAAACTCCTTTTGTACTCTCCTCTCCCTGCCTGACCACCTTAGCTAAATCTCATTTCTACTTGTTATCATGATTCTTGTTTCATTTTCTTTGGAGCACTTTTCAGTATTTAGAGTTACCAAATTGGGATGCCTGGGTGGCTCAGTGGTAGAGCGTCTACCTTCAGCTCAGGGCATGATCCTGGGATCTGGGATTGAGTCCTGCATCAGGCTCCTGAGAGGAGCCTGCTTCTCCCTCTGCCTGTGTCTCTGCCTTTCTCTCTCTCTCTCTCTCTCTCTCTCTCTCTCTCTCTCTCTCTCTCTGTGCCTCTCATGAATAAATAAATAAAACTTTAGAGTTACCTAATTCATTTTGTTATTTATTTTCTGTCTCCCTTCTATAAGATCCACAAGAACAGAAATTTTATTTGACTTGTTATTTCCAGGTGTGTCCCTAATGCCTCAGACATAGTAGGTACTCAATAAACATTTGTTGAGTAAACAAATACATATAAAGTAAGTTGTAATTTATGAATTGTGGTTAACACTCCCTTGTTAGATTTTTCTTTGAGCTCTTTGTTGTCAAGTCCACATTATTCTCTTATATATATTTCATCACTATGATTAATCCTAGAAACTTTGAAAACCTTACAGCCAGCATATTATTCCAGCATCCCTAAATCTAGTTTGACTTGAAGCCCTGGAGAAAACTTCAGGTTTGCAACTGAAACCTAAATGTATCACTCTAGAGAGAAGTAAGTATGTATGGTCCAGAATGCTAGAAAAAGTCGGCCCAGTCCTGAGTGTTTTCTCTGATTCCTTTAATGAATTTAACCAGATTATAAAATTCTAGGTAATTTTGTGTGCTTTCCTGTAGGTTATCAATAAAGTACACATTGTCTTCCTAGTTCCGTACTTGCATAAACTATAGGTAGTTTTAGATCATAAAGAAATTTCATAGTGTCCAAACATGTCTAAAATCCTCTTCAATGGCCTGGAGTTCCATGCCCCCTCCATAAATTCACTTCTGTATTGAGCACCTACCAAATGCGAACACTGCGCTCTGTGCTGGAAATAATACTGCTGTGGTTCTCAAACTTTAAAGTACATAACAATTATCCGCAGTATCAGTTAAAAATGCAAACTTCCAATACTTAGTACCAGGTTAGTGGATTTCAGGTGAGGCCTAGGATTTCCACTATTTAATTCATACTACATCTAATGCAGGGGTCTGCTAACTACACTCAATTGCCCACAGAAAATTTGCTTGTACTTGTAAGTGTATGGGAAATACAGCTCTTTACTCTGGTGTCCTATACAGGCGCACATCACTACCACCAAAGCAAAACTCTTAGAGAAAGACTGGTTCCTCCAGCTTGTCTATATGGTGGGTGTTAGGCTTCTTTCTCGGTATCTTTGTTTACAAAAAGATAACCAATCTACATAGCTAATTATTTATTTAAAAAAAATTAAACCACTACATCTTGCCCAAAGAAATCACTTTTTAATTAATAGACTTTATTTTTTTAATAATAAATTTATTTTTTATTGGTGTTCAATTTGCCAACATACAGAATAACACCCAGTGATCATCCCATCAAGTGCCCCCCTCAGTGCCCACCTTTATTTTAAAGCAGTTTTTGGTTTGCAGAAAACTTGAGAAGATATGGAACACCCCCCTGCCCCCTCCCCTCCTGCATGTGGTTTCCCCTTGAAATCTTGCATTAGTGTGGTAACTTTGCTATGACTGATAAACCTATATTGCTACCTTATTTTTCACCAAAGTCCACAGTTTATACTAGGGTGCTCTCTTTGTGTTGTGCATTCTGTGGGTTTTGACAAATTTATAATGACTGGCAGCTACCATTACTGTATCATACATAATAGTTTTACTGCCCTAAAGATCCCCTGAACTCCTATTCATTCTTCTCTCCCAGCCCAAGGGCATTTTTAATTTTAACAGATGCCCTTAGAAGATCAGAACTAGCTTCATCATTAATTATCTTACTTGCATAAATATCTTTAGTCTCAAAGTATAAATTTATATTAGTCTTTGAACTTGACATAATTTGCTTCTTTTTGTATTGCCATCATCACACATAGGTATAAATAGTACCTGGAAGTCTTATCTTACTTAGCCCTTGGCCATGGGCTTGGCCACATTCCAGAGCTGCTTGGCCCCCCACTTGAAATACCTCCAGTCCTCACACATCCATCACAGTCCTACTCCAGGAAAGAGGTTCCACAGGGCTGGGGTTGTATTAAAACTCATCATGGCCTACAGACTAGGCTGAGTCTTATTTAAAAGTCACATTCTCAAAAAATTGTATAACTAGCTATGGTCTAGGACCCAGTTGGGGGGGGGGGGTTAGCTATAACTTCTCCAAACACCTGGCTGCAAGTAAATGGGGGAGAAGGTAGACAGAGCCTAAGTGGATATGGGTAGGGAGTCCTTTAGAAGGCCCTCAAGAAAGAGGCAGTACAGATATACTCTGACAAGGATTTTGCAGGTAGCTTCATTTTGTCTGCTGATTCACTGGTTTCTGTTTCTGGTCTTACCCGATAGGTAATCTGCAGGATCTAGCCTCCTCCTATCCATTTCTATATTCAAAACTACAATGGATTGGTGAGTTTTCTATGCCTCTGGATAAAGAAAATGACCATATTTGGTTGTGAGGTCATTGTGGATATTAACTTTCAGCAAGGAAAAAGAGGTGTGACATAAAGTTTCCATTCCCACAAATGTTTTGAAACTTGTATGTACATTTAATTTTTTAAACACACACAAAATGTCTGCACAAAGAATAATAAATGAACTGGAAGAGATGTGAGAATTTTTTTCAGAACAATAGTGCTGTCTATTTCATTCTATTTGTGTTCTCCACAAAACCTAAATGATTCTCCATTCCTCAGTATGTACTGTATACCTCCCTGCTGAAACTCAACTTTACATTACTGCCCAGCCAACACCAAGACATTGGCAAAGCCTTGCTTCCCAGGGGGAATGTGCTCCCCGGGCCAGATTCCAAGGACTCCTACCTGGCTATCATTGAGCCTCTGACCCAGCTGATGTGAACTGAGTTTGTGGGCCATTTCTCAAACAACAGAGATAGCACAAGGCACCCACTGGCTCCAAGCATACTCTCTAGTGCAGATGATGGCTAAAGTCTCCGAGGACAGCCTAAGGGGGAGCAGCAAGCAATCAGCTTTGCTGGCCACTGCTGGGGGGCCTTGTGCAATCTGTCCTCCTGCCTTCACAGCTGCGTACTCCACTCCTGTCGTCTTTGGCACCAGGAGTCACAGAGTTGCAGTTGTGGGTAGCTTAGTAGAAGCTGAGGAATATCTTATAGGATCTCCAATGTCACAATGGGAAGCAGACAACTCGCAGAATTGTGGTTTCCACGTTTGCTGAAAATCACTCATCATCCTTTATGTCATGTTGCAATGAAGCCTGCTGAGGACCAGTACTGGAGAGAATCAGAGGTCTTGCACACCAGGTGCTTAGTGAATACTTCCCAATTGTGAGCAAGCAGCATCGGGAAAACCTGCCATTTGCCATTGGGACCCTTCCTTCCCCCAGGCTGCTCCCATCCCAGTCCTATCACACACTTTGGGGGAAGGACAGTAGCTTTGAACAGAAGGAAGAGGTAGAAAGTAGCCTGGCCTTCTGTACCATCTGCCTGTGATTAAAGACCCCCAAAGAACACCCCATGGAAGCAACATAAGGTCACCGAGAACATCTCCTTAACTTAACATCAAAGTTAATCACCTCACATTATTTTTAATCATAAAGTTTTCACCTTTTTTCCAAATAACAACCTTATTGAGATATGCATCATGTACCATAAAACCCACCTTTTTAAAGTGTACAATTCAGTGTTTCTCATATATTCACAGAATTGTGAACTATCACTACTAATTTCAGAACATTTTCATCGCTCCAGAAAGAAACCCTGTATACATCATTCCTTCGTCCCCCAGCCCCAGCAACCATGAACGTGCTTTTTGTTTCTATTATCCATATATTTCACACAAATGGAATTACACACTATGTGTCCTTTTGTTTCCTGTCTTCCTTCACTTAGTATGGGGTTCTCAAGGTTCGTCCATGTTTCAGCATGTAACAGTAATGCTTTTCTTTTTAAGACTAATATTCCATTGTATGGATATACAGTAGTCCCTCCTTATTCACAGGGGATATATTGCAACTCCCAGTGGATGCCTGAAATTGTGGATTGGGTAGTACAAAATCCTATGTTATGTGTATATATACGTGTGAGATGATAAAATACCTACATGACAAGTTGAAGCAAGGTGAATGACGTGGACCTTGTGATGTAGCTTGAAGCTGCTATTGACTTAGAAGGAAGGTCGTCTACTTCCAGAGCACAGTTGACTACTGGTGACTAAAACCATGGAAGTAAAACCTCAGATAAGGGGGAACTGTACCACAATTCACTTGTCCATTTGTCTGCTGAAGGATATTTAGATGGTTTCCTTTTCTTATCTATTATGTATATGCTGCTATGAACATTTGTGTGCAAGTTTTCATGTGAATGTATATTTTTTTGTGCTCTTAAGTGATCACCTTCTGTTTAAATGAGTGTACCACTGCTATGGACATGTCACCTCTTGGCACTAATGTGGTTATTGCTGAGTTTCTGGAAATGTTCCTGATCTCTTTCATGCTATGAATGGAATAACATATTGTACACTGATACTGAGCCGCTTCTATGTGCCAGATTAGGGGCATATTGACAGGCAAGACAAAGCCTCCTCCATCAACTCCCATTCTCTGCCCTCCTCCTACACCTCTGTTCTTGCCTCCCTTCAGGCCTACACCATTCCAGAAGCCTTCTATCACCTGCCCCCATTTTGCTTCCTTAAGTGCATTCAGATATCAGGGCCATGTCACCCCTCTATTTTAAACCCCTCATGGAGTTGGTCACCTATAGGATAAAACCAGCATACCATAAGGTTCACAGGTCAACAGTAATGAGGCCCTTGTCTACTTCCCCAGCTGCATCTGGACCCCAGCGTCCCCTGGGCATTGACCTCACCAACATGGAGCTACTCATGTGTCTTTGACAACTCCTTCCTGTTCTGTGCCTTGTGGAATCTTTTTCAGCGAAGCATCCCACTGCACATGTAGTGCCTACTACATGACAGATACTAGGAGTCTGCTGTAACCTAGACAGACACACCACCCACCCTCACTCTCTTTCTGAGAACATCCTTCTCCCAGTGGCTCCTATTAACACATCCATCTATCTCCCTTCTGGAACCATCTATGAACTCTCAACTGACTTGCTTCTCTCAGCCCAGAGCCATTGCAGGAGGAAGCAGGAGAGCAGCAGATGAGTCCTGGAGTTTGGAAAGCAGGTGGAGCTGGTGTCAAATCCCACTGGGGCCTCTCACTCACAGTGGGGCTTCAGCAAGTTGTATAATCTTTTAGGACAACTTTCTCATCTGCAAGATGTGCAAGGGGGCACTGGACTTGGAGTAAATAATACAAGTGTAAGGTGTGTGGCAAGTTCTGGTCCCATCTCAGGAAGACTTTATTAAGCTAGCACCTATTTTTACCACTACTTGAACATGTAATATACTAATTTTTCCTGTGGAATTCTCACATTGTACAACTATTTATTTACATGTTCCTTCTCCCCTACTAATCTAAGAGATTCTCCAGGGCAGCAACTATTTATTATTAACTTTGGAATCCCTTTTTCCTGGCACTGCTCTTGAAAAGAATTCATGGGTTTGCCTTCCACTTATTATCTTACTTACCCCTGAGAGGCAGAGATCTGGGAATCACACTACTCTGGCCAGCTCGATATTTTCCTAGCAGCTAGTAGAATGATCCCAATGCACAGAGAAGGAACCCAAGTGGTTGACAGATGGCCACACTCGGATTCCTGAGGTGATGACATTCAGTGTCTCCCCACCCCCAACACTTGATGGGGTCTGTTTTCATGGTGGTCTCCTCTTCTCATGGTAAGCCCTCAAACCTCCTCCCTGCGCTGACCAGAGTGCGCTCAGACCTACCTGTTAGTCCCCTCTGCATAGGTGTCATCTGACCTCTTGAATATGCTGACTCCCAAGGGGAGGAAGCCTGAGTCCAGATCCATCTGTTCATACTTCTGATTTCATACAGGTGGCCCCAGTGAAGCCTCTGCCAGCAGGCTGAGGCCTCAGGGGTCCTAGAGCTTTGCTGTACAATAGAATCACCTGGAGGTCTTCAAAAAATACTGATGCCTGGCTCCTACACCTGAGACTTCACGGGTCTTATAGGTTCCCTAGGGGATTTGTAAATGCTTACCAAAGATTGGGAACCCTTGGAGCTAAGCTCACAGAGCAAAAAGAGTCTCTGGCAGTTGCCTACTCCGGATGTGTGGCCACAAAGAGCATGGAACAACTGTGATATCACAGGATCAGAGTTGAGGGCTCCTGTCATAATATCCAGGACAGACAGATTGGCAGTCACTGCTCAAACGTGAAACAGAGAAGTCACTATTTGGTGAGGTGAGGTAGATTTTTCCATTGTGGAGTACCACGGTTTAAAAAAACAGGCAAACAAAATAAAACAAACAACAGGGGGAAAGTGAGTTTTAAAATTTAAGATGAAATTCTTCACTTTCTCTCCTTGCTCCCAGCCCTGCTAGCTGGAGTGACGTGGAGCAATTCTATCTTCTGCAGCTCACTTTTCTTCTATCAAGGCTGGTATTTCATGGGATGCACTTTGCAAGAGATCCGAAGGAAGATATGGTCACTGAGCTTCCAGCCCAAGGGCAGAGACAGAGCTGCCAACAGCGAACAATTCTACAAAGCAGCCAGAAATAGCATTACAAGGGAGGTAGGAAGGGCGTTCTAAGGAGCAGATGGAAGGAGGGAATTTGGCCTGGGGAGGACTGAGAAGGTCTCAGAGAAGCAGGGATACTCTATGTGGGTCCTGAATAGGTCTTAACTGCGGGGAACCTTTCACACAGGCAGGTGGGGAGCAGCCATGCAAGCAAGGCGAATCAGCGGTCCAAGGAGGGGTGTGGGGTGTGCAGGTGTCTGCGGTGGGTGGAGGGAGTAGCGAAGCAGGGTGGAGAGAACGGGCCCTGGTCGTCGGGCAGAGCGCCTCCAGCGGCCAGAGAGGAGTGTGACCAACCCTGTGCTTGGGAGACGGCAGGCCGGGAGGCTGGGGACAGTAAGGGCGGTAGCAACAGTCCCAGGGGCAGAGGTAAGGAGGGCTCAGCCAGGGCAGTCCCCGTGGCAGAGGGCGTTTAACATGTGATGATGCGCTTCTGCAAAAACCGGGACCCCGGGAATCCCTGGGTGGCTCAGCGGTTTGGTGCCTGCCTTTGGCCCAGGGCGTGATTCTGGAGTCCCAGGATCGAGTCCCGCGTTGGGCTTCCTGCACGGAGCCTGCCTCTGCCTCTGCCTGCGTGTGTGTGTGTGTGTGTGTGTGTGTGTGTGGCGTGTGTGTGTGTGTCTATCATGAATTAATAAATAAAATCTTAAAAAATATATATAAAAGAAAACCGAGAACCCACTCGGCGTAATTCCCTCGTCGGAGCTGTCGTTCACACCGTAATAACACCATGTGCCAGGAGGGGGTGTGGACACCGCGTGCGCCTGTCTAAGGCCTGAGAGGACACAACTAGGGCCGCGGGCCTTCCCCCGGATTCTCCTCCCTTCTCTCACCCAGCAGGACGCTCGCTGTACAACAGGACAACGGGGCGTCATCACCAGTCACCCCCACCCCTTGTGTGCAGAATTTGATGGCTCCCCACAGAGGTCTGGAC